ATGTTTGCCACGCATAGCAGCCTGGGCGTTGTAGACTTAGGAGCTACCAAGACGGTAATTGGGAGCAATCTGGTTGCTGACCTGATCAATAACTTGCATCCAAACATCCGCAAGAACTTGCAAAGATGTCCATGCCATGTGACCTTCAGATTTGGCAACCATGGCACCCTGCAGAGTGAACAGGCACTGGTAGTTCCTCTCCAAGATTTGCTTTTGAAAATTGCAATCGTGCCAGGGTCAACTCCGTTTTTGCTGTCCAACACGTTGCTCAGAGCTATGCATGCAGTGATTGATGTGGAAAGACATGTCTTGTGGTCCAAGAAATATAACCAAGAGTATCCACTTACGTTGACACCAAAGGGCCTGTTTTTGATTGATTTGAATGATCTGGCGGCCAACACGGCCAAAACATCGGAAGGAGGACGTCCTGCCGAGACTCATTTGGCCGATTCCGAGTCGTCAAAACATGCAAGCCATCATGACAGTGCCGACAGTCCCAGTGTAATATCATGTCAGGAAACCAATAACGTAAAGGTGTCATGTCGTCAGGGTCCAGGGTTGAGTCACACCAGGGTACCAGAGGGTTCAAGTGAACATGCCGAAACTCGTCCAAATGACAAGAATGAATCAGCTGGCAAAGAGCTTCAACACACCATGATCGCATGTCCGAAAATATGCCAGCCACCTCAAGAGTCATCTCCCTCCGTTGCTGCCCGTGACAAAATTGTTGATACGCCTCATGTCGTCGTTGAACCAGCGTCTGCAGAAACTACAGGTGAAAGTGGCAGAACCTCTGCCGGATGTGTCTCGATACTCGATGCAGGAGCTCGACCAGATGAAGATCGAGTTCGGGACCAAGCACCTGGGTCATTCGTTTCAAGAAGTCTGGAACGACGACCAACAGTGGATTTCGTGGTTCGTGAAGCACTATCAGAACAGCACCAAAGGTGTTCATCGCCTGTTGATTCAGTACATCGAGTTGAAGGTCGAACGTGCAGAACTGGAAGGGGAAGAGATCACAGTGCAGGAGTCAGCACCACAGCTCCACCGGAAGATGCCTATCGAGGAGAGTGGGAAATTGTCCCAGAAGTTGATGGCCAAGGCCAAGGCTCGACCAGAAATGCCCATGGCCTCAGAGAGCCTGACCGATTGGGACATCGACTTCACCACCCAGGAGTTGATCGAGGCTCAACCCGACTTCCACCATCTGGAAGGAAGGATGCTCCAGCTGGAGACCGCCGTTCAGAACATCCTGGGCCACCTCGAGCAGATGGCGATTCATCAAGGTCATGTGAGAGCTGCGACACCCGTCGAACAGTGAATGAACATCGTCTGGAGATGTTAGGAATGTTAGCTGCCGGAGACCCATGTTCCAGTGTGTATCATACTGAAGGTCTTGAACGTCACACATGCCAAGAACGTCGTAGGTTTGTTCGGTTGGTAGAACAGTACACTGAAGAATTGGAAACGGTCATCCAGGCCAATTCCAAGCAGATCCAGACGTCCTGCCGGTTGAACCTCTTGGAGGTATTTTGCGGTCCAAAGAGTCAGTTGACCCATCAAGTGCAACAGCTTGGTTTCAAAGCTGAACGCATTGGACTCGAGCAATGTGATCTCCAGTCTTCTGAAGGTAGGAACATGTTGTTTGAAACTGTTGTCTCCAAGCGGCCTGAGCACTTGTGGTTTTCTCCGTCATGTGGACCATGGTCAGGATGGTCAACACTAAATGGAAGCCGATCCATTCAAGCATGGGATGATTTGCAGAACTGCAGGTTGAAACATCTTGAACAAATTGCCTTAGGGGTTGTGTTGCTGCGGTTTCAAGTGTCCTGCAATCGTCACATGCACTGGGAACAGTCCCAAGCATCCCTCATGTTTAAGCTGCCTTACCTCAGCGAGATCCACCATGCCACGCTGGCTGTGGACTTTGACATGTGCACTGCAGGGAATTTGGTAGATCCCCAGAATGGTAAGCATATCAAGAAAGGCATGACTGTGTTAACCACCTCACCACGAGTTGCCGAAAGCTTGAAGAACAAGAAATGTATGGGACAACACGAACATCAGGTTATTGAGGGATCCACAGTAAGGGATAAACAAAGAGTGAACAGATCGGTGTTCTCAGAATCCTATCCCCGAAAGTTTGCAAGAGACATGGCAAAAGTCCTTTGTAAGCTACAGTATCCCAAAGAATGCCCTATCACACCCATGATGTGCCCAAATGATGCCGCAGTGTTTGTCAATGAGCCTGCGTTGAAAAGGAGAAGGCTCCTCACTCAGGCCAAACCGAAACTTTCCAGGTCCTCGGAAGTGACCGCAGACATGCTTGTGAAACGTCGGAAGTTGAATGGCAAACAGGCCAGTCTCAATGCATTGGAAGCATGGAACAAGGTGTTTGACAAGGTGGATAATCTACTGCCTCGAGTAGGAAAGACTCAGCTTGACAATCCTGAATTGTTGTCCGAAATCCAATGCCTGTTGCCGGATAAAACTATCCAATTTGCCATAGCCTGCAGGGGTTCAGATAGGACCATAGCCCCTCCACCAAACATGTTATCACTAGAAGCACCTTTTCGAAAGTGCATCTTCTTGAAAAGGGGAACCACCAAAATCTTTGCAGAAGATCAGTGGGAAAAGTGGTCAGAGCTATCCCAACGCCAAAGGGTAAGACCCTCACATGCATGTCGGATCAATATAACGGTTTTTGCCTGCGATGCTGTACCCAATCCTGGGGCGTCCGGATCAAAAGAATCCATAGCCAATGACACCAGCGGTTCAGCCGGTGAGGATCAGCCTGGTAGCAGTGTTCCTGAGCCTGTAGCACCACAGGTAATGTCCCAGAGAAACAACATAGACAGACGTCTAGAACAAGACCATGAGGAATCATCAAATAAAAGTCCTGAAGCTACCAATACCAATAATGAGCCACATGATAACTTACAGATTCATAACCCCAACCATGATGCTGATGACAACCAGAAGAAATCCATCCATAACTTCCAACATGAATCAGTCAAGAACCTTCCCAAAAGTGATCAACAAAATGCTAGCCAAAATCCACAAAAATCTCGGACATCCGAGTGCCGAGAGAATGAGCACCATCATGCTACAGCAAGGTTTCCGGCCAGAAATGGTGAAAGCCGCACGGAACTATCAGTGTTCCATTTGCATTCAGAACTCTCAGCCGAAATCTGCCCGACCGGGCTCACTGAAGGATGACATGGATTTCAATGACAGAATCTCCATTGATGGACTGACCTGGACAAGCAATAAGGGTCGAACATACCATGTATACCATGTAATAGATTGGGCCACCAACTTTCACATGGCACACGTGGCACCGTCTAGGACATCAGAAGATGCCATCCAAGCTCTCATGACGATGTGGTTGTCTTGGGCAGGGGCACCTGGTGAAATCTTAGTGGATGCGGCCTCAGAATTTAATGGAGAAGAGTTCATGAATTTCCTTCAAAGTCATAATATAAAAGGTACCACCATATCCCCCGAAGCTCACTTCCAAAATGGGAAAGCCGAGAGACATGGGGCTATTTTGGATAAAATGTTAACCAAGTTTAACAGTGAACATGCCGTGGAAAACTATGGCGATCTCCAGAAAGCCTTGTGGTGGTGTATCCAGGCCAAAAATGCATGCAGCCTGAAAGGAGGCTTTGCCCCGGAAGTCCTGGTGCTCGGCAAGCACACAAGACTCCCTGGTTCCGTCAGTAGTGACAATCTCCTCCCTGCGCATTTGCTGGCTGAATCTGAACATGCTCAGGGAATCAAGTTCCGACAGCAGTTAGCTTACCGTGAGACAGCCAGAAGGGCGTTCCACAGTGCTGACAATGACTCCGCGCTGCGTCGAGCCATGCTGCGCCGTTCCCACCCACATAGGGGAGCTTACCAACCAGGCGAATGGGTCATGGCATGGAAAGAGGGGCTCGGACAAACTCAGGGATACTGGCAAGGTCCCATGAAAGTTGTTGTACATGAGAATCAACAAACCATTTGGGTGACGATGTCCAGTAAAATCTACAGATGTGCCCCAGAACATGTTAGGCCTGTGACTGCTGAAGAAGCCAAAGGCATCTTGCAGAGACCTGTCGAACCATCCATTTCCGAGATTGCCCAGCAACTCCCGAGCGAAGTCTCCGGAACAGTGACCCGATATGTAGATCTGGGTATGCCAATTCCCATGCAATTCACAGACCCCAACACACCTACAACTGAAGAACCTCATCTCAGCAACTCCAATAACAGTCAAGAAGATCAACCTGACAATGAACCAGAGATACCTTCCAGTGCACCTTCCGAACAAGAAAGAGCTCCATCCGAGGAACAACAAGTTCCCGAAGATCCCAAAGATGTTCCGGTTCCTATTGAAACTGATGATGATCTTATTTGTGAAGGATTGCATAGTATAGATGCTGAGATCAATGTTTTAGAACATACCCAAGAAGATCTAGCATGGAAAGCTGAAGTCATGGTCACTGATGCTGACATTCAAGAATGGAAACTCGCCGATCTGCCGGAAGAGATGTCTTTTCTGGTTTCAGCAGCAAAAAGACAGAGATCTGAAATCAAGCTGTCAACCTTGACGCACTCCGAGAAAGCAGAATTTGCCGCTGCAAAAGAAAATGAAATAGCAAACTGGCTGAAAACAGGCACAGTCCAGAGAATGTTTCGCAATCAGATCCCACCGGAGCAAGTATTGAAGTGTCGATGGATTCTCACCTGGAAACCCATCGAAGAAAGTGACCGGGATCCCAAGAAACCTCAAAAGACGTCCAAAGCAAAAGCTCGACTTGTAGTGTTAGGCTATTTGGATCCAAAGATCACTGAGATCCCACGTGATTCACCAACTCTGAATCGACATTCCAAAATGCTGTTGCTCCAACTGATTGCATCCATGTCTTGGGATTTAAGATCGTTTGACATCAAGGCTGCTTTCCTACAAGGCAAGCCTCAAAGTGGCCGTATCTTAGGTCTTGAGCCTGTGCCAGAACTTGCTGCAAAGATGGGTTTGAGCAAAGATGAAATTTGTCGTTTAACCAAAAGCGCCTATGGGTTGATCGATGCACCGTTCATGTGGTTTCAAGCCCTGAAAGAAGAAGTGCTGAAGTTAGGATTCGAACAGTCCCCCTTTTGTCCGTGTACTTTCATACTGCGTTGCCCAAAGACTCGAGTTCCTGAAGGTATCATTGGGGTACATGTAGATGATGGTCTATGTGGAGGAAATCAGAGGTTCATGTCCAAACTTCAAGAGTTGGAAAAGCGCTATAGTATCCATTTGGATCTCAAAAGGTTGGCCAATTTACTTTCACTGGAATTGACATGTTTCAACATCCCAACAAAGCCATTACACTTTCCCAAAGCAAGCACGTTAACGCAATTAATCCCATCAAAATACCAATTGAACGCCGAAAGGATGAAACAGCCAAGGTCACCTCAGAAGAAAAGATGGCACTCAGGGGTTTAATTGGAAGCCTTCAGTATGCATCGGTCCATACCCGTCCAGATTTGTCAAGCCGTTTAAGTTTCCTTCAATCAGATATCAATCAAGCAACCATACAAACTCTACTTGAAGCCAACCGTACCCTTCACGAAGCCAAGAGACATTCCAATGTATCCTTAACCATCAATCCCATTGCTTGTGCAGATCTGAGGTTCCTGGCATTTTCCGATGCTTCTTTTGCTTCAAGAAAGAATCCCGATTCCCACACTGGTTGTATGATCATGAGTACCCATAAAGATATTGGTAACAATACTACTTGTGTGGTAAATCCGATGTCATGGGGATGCAAGAAAATCCAAAGAGTAGTTACAAGCACATTAGCTGCCGAGACCGTCTCCTTGAGCACAGTGCTAGATCAGCTCTCTTGGATTCGACTATGCTGGGCGTGGTTACTCGATAACAATGTTCCATGGAAGCGACCAGAGCAAGCTCTGCAGGATTTGCCTGAATCCTTTTCAACAGCTACGATCAAGTCTCAGCAGTTACCGGAGGGAACCATAGCAACGGATTGCAAAAGCCTTTTTGATTTAGTCACAAGGACTGCAGTTCCTGCGTGCAGTGAGTTCAGGACCCAACTGAACGCCCGCCGGATCAAAGATCTGTTGGATGAAGGAGTGCAAATTAGATGGGTACACTCAGGAGCCCAGCTTGCAGACTGCCTCACCAAAATCATGGACACCAGCTTTTTGAGAGAAACTCTTCTTCATGGAAAATACAGGTTGAATGATGAACTGGAGATCCTGAAAGCCCGTTTGGACAAACGCACACGTCTGAAGTGGTTGAAATCGAACTGCGATGAAGAACCTTGCAATGCGTTAACATCTCTGTGAGTCTTTTCAATTTTGAATTTACAAAGAGATTTTTGGGAGTGTGAATTTCCCAACATTGCAAGGTGTACCAGCAGTACAAGATACAGGATCTTCCACAGCTGCCAGGTTGTAAATCCACCGAAGGGTCATTTTGACCACAATGTTCATGTGACTAGCAATACATGGCTCAGGGCCCATTTCAAGGTGAAGCGGCGGGTGGGTTCTTTGCTTGGCCATAAGCTACATTGCTCAGGGAGCATTTGCAGGACGTGGCGTCCTTGGTCTTCGCATTTGGACATCTGCTGCCACTTGACGGTGGCCCGTTGGCTGTTTGGGGAAAACAGCGCGTTTTGCCTTAAAGGAGGCTTGTTGGAGAGAGGACTACCAGTGTGAATAGCCATTCACAATAATTATATATATATATAATTATATATATACATTATATATATTATATATAATTATATAAATTATATATATATATAAATTGTATATATATATATATATAAATTGTATATGCACATACAGATCCCATCCTTTTTGTTGGTACAAGTATTCATATCACTACCTTACCCATGAGTTCCTGACACTCTCCTCCCCAGTTGTCACTGGCCTTTGGCAACAGCCACGTGAAGTCCCACTTCCCAACGGCCAGCTCCTGAATCCAACCCGCAAAAAAAAAGGATAGAAGAACAAAATCCTACTCAAAAATGTTGGCAAATTACTTTCCTTTCTATTGAGGGGGTGCTGTAACTGCAACTGTGAATCAGTTTAAGCGATACCCAAGGCGTTGCTCAATCCTTCCTATGAGTCTATGAGTTCAGTTCTTATTTCGGGCATGTGACAGAAAGGTAATCAGCCCCAGTCACAAGTTGGCATATCAACCCCATATAGATATAGCATAATATGGCTACTTACAATCCATGTTGAAGCTACATAAACTAACTTAGCCACGGCTGCCTGTGCCAATCTCTGGGAAGTTCAACATGGCACTGGAAAATCCAAATCTTTCACATCCATATATATATATACAGATTATATATATATAGACTATAGATATCTATAATATATATATAATATATATAGGTGACTTGTTGATTACCAGATCTTTCATTGCCATGTTGGGTTTTTCAGGGCACCCTTCGAGCGCTCGCGCTCTCCCCCAATCCTGGCCATCCGTTGAAGTTGACGCTTGCAAGTCACCTGCCAGGAAGTGCTCGAATCCGGAACTGGAGATGTATCTTGATGCATGCCTATAGATATCTACTGATATCTATAGATCTTATTAGATCTTATCTATCCAAGCTATCCCAGCTATCCAAGCTATCCAAGTCTCTATCTCTCTATCTCTCTATCTCTCTATCTCTCTATCTCTCTATCTATCTATCTATCTATCTATCTACCTACCTATCTATCTATCTATCTATCTATCTATCTATCTAGGCCATCTGCCTGTTTTTTTTGATTTGGTCATTGATTCCATGCTTTGCTGATCTCCATACCACCCACCTTGGATGGAACTCGAAGACCTTGCTGTTGAGTGAACCTCCAACGAAAAATTAGTGAACCGCCCCAGGTCGCGACTGGACCACAACCCACACATCTGTAGAAACTTGAAGGGTTTACACATGTTTACACCATCTCAAGCATCGCAAGCATCGCAACTAAGGCTGCCGAAGTCCCCCATTTTTCGCAGCCGTTCGCAGTGTGATCTCCGTGGTCCGTGGTCCGTTCCATCCCTTTGGAGACGAGCTGAACCACACCGCGGGCCTCGTTGCTCACAGCTTTCTCTTTCTCCCTGCGGAGGACAGTCGGACAGCAACAGAAATATTGGGATAACAGGCCCCAGAAGCCCGTTTTTTATCATCATGTTATGAGAATGGCTGCATTTTGATATTTTGCTCCGCCATTTTAGGACCAAGTTCAATGTAATCCACGTCTCAGAGTTCTCCTGGCCTCAAGAGCTTCTCTGCTGCTTGGACATCCTCAGTCGGATGGGATTTGAAGTGGGGATTGTCCATTCATGTTCTATGGAAAATCTCAGAAAATCAGCCAAATCTATCCAATCTACTAACAGAAATTGGTGATGCACTTGGCAATTGATGTTCTATGGATGTTCTAATGATGTTCCAATGATTTTCCAATTCTCCATTGAGTTTCCATTGATTTTCGACCGAAACGCCACTGATTTCCGTATTTCCATGGGTGTTCCATCGATTTCCCAAATCTTCCCAACTAGAATCCAGCAGCAGTACCCGGCGAAATCAATTTACAAGCAAACCCAGTAATGTTATGACCATGATCAAGTGGTCCAATGTCCAATTCTCTATGGGACACATTCCGACCAAATCCTGCAACAGTGCAGTGTCATGTCCACTTCACCCGTTGACCTTGTCGTACAGCTGTAGTAGCCGGCCTCAGACGAACCCTGGGACTCAGCCAATGTAGTACTCACCGCATCGCGGGGTAGGAATCGTACAGCGACATGGATGTGTCTGAAAATGGTACCAAAAAAATGTTATTTAACAGGTAAAATGATGACAAATCATGCGATTTTGGGATACCCTAGTTTCCAGACAAAGCCAAATGTGCCAAATGAGCCATTAAAAATACCCCTGTCCCATCTCATGAAATACTGGTGGATATCTTTCCCATAAGGTTTCTGGGTTATCATAATCAATAATCCCCAATAGAAATTGGTAGTTGATTATTGATAGATAAGTCGCAATTTATTAGTTCAATAATCCCCAATTCTTAAGTTTATTGTTTCTGGTAGTTGGGATCAATCCTCAATTGGTCGTTTATACCATCTGGTTATGACTAACAGTTTGCCATGGAAAATCACCATGCTATTAATAGGTAAACCATCTATTTCTATGGGCCATGTTCCATGGCTATGTTAAATAACCAGAGGGTAGTTTATAAGTCCCAACAATTGAACCAACCAGCGTCGCCTCGTTTCTCCTCTTGGCTTAGAGGCCAATCTAAAGACGGAAACCGGCGTCCTGGCGCCGGTGTTGGTACGCAAGGCTTGGGGCTGCAGTTGGGCTTATTAAATGTCATCAATGGGTATAACATGCTATAACTATAACTGTAGCTATATCTGGAACTAAAAACAACTATTTATCCCTATAACTAGAACTATCACTATCATTATAACTACCACTATAACTATCACTACAACTATCACTATCACTATAGCTATCACTATAAATTATAACAATAACTATGATCAACTACAGCAATAACCTCCATAAGTTGGGATATAACCCCTACACCGGTGAAATCTAACCCACAAAAATTACTGGAACTGCGCCCTCAAGTGGGGCCGGTCATAGCTCCTTGACACTCCATTGCCAGGGTGCTCTGTGCAGCTTGGGCCAAAGCCGAAACACCTTTTTGGGGGCAAGTTCCTGATGCAAAACCACACTGTTGGGCGTATCCGCAAGTTGGAACCATCTTGCAACCAAGCTTCGAAATAACAGTTGAGTTGAAGAAATTGAAGAAATTCCTTGCCCCTAATATCAAACACACCATGACTCCTGGTTTAGTCTTAGATCCATTCCATTTTGGGACCCAAGAAGGGTTGAAAAAGTGGACTTCACCTGCATGAAGTAGCAGACTTCGGCACTTTTAATGACATTGGACCTCGTAACCGGGATGAATAAAATGTTACAGTAACAGACTATAGAACCATGCTGGGTCAATGGCGGGTTAGCCACCCGCTTCTCACTGAAAATCATCATGTCGAAACCAGAAGAATGTTACTAACCTCCTTGAAGGGGCCAAGAAAGCTTCCTGACCCCGTCAAGCAACCATGCCCTCGCCCTTTTTTCCACTCTATTCGTGGGTGCCGTACCTGTCAAGTTGAGGGGTCCCTCAATGAAATCAGATCTGGACGCTCTCAGCCGAAGGTTCGATTGAGATATCAGCAAATCTTTCAGATGCTATCTACATTGCACGGATTTTAATGGATTCAAACGAATTCAAATATGTTTGATCATTGTTTCATCATTGTTTCATCGTCCATTGTGTGCACAGTGGCTGCAAGCCCTTGAAATCTATGTCTCTACACCGAACCACAACGCATTGCATCGCCACCCAGGACACTCGTTGAAGATCGTCTTAGCCCAGGATGGATGCGGACGATCTTCTTTCAGAGGAGACCAAGCCTGGGATGCTGTTTTCTTCGCATCGCCGGGGAAAATGTCTCCTATTTCAATAGATTCTCCATTCAAAAAAATGTTCGTCCTTACAAGTTGGAAATGAAATCAATTGCCATGCAGGAGAAGAATCAAACGCTTGGATCTATCCAGAGTGAATTCAAGCTGCACAAGAACAGAATGCCTCGAAAGCAGAAAGCATCCAAGTACTGTACCTGGAAAACACCTTTGAAAGATGTGCCGATGTGATCCGATGTGCACATCTTAACACTTTGGCACATGGACGTGTTAAGAAATGTGATGAAATGTGCTATCTCTGTGATAGCAATCCCACAAAATTCGCGTGGCCATTCAAAAGTGGGAAAATAAATCCAACACAATCGCGCGGCCCATTTTTTCCCGTATACATAAGATTGCACACATATATACATGTCATATCCGCCGACCCCGGCCGACGCAAGGGGGAGCGCGTAAGGGAAGAAGATGGAAATTAGGTGGTGTTTTGCTGTTTCGGAAGCGTTTCGAAACAGTAGGCCCAGCCATAATATTGTTTAGGCGATTCTGGGGGATTCGGCCGAAACAGCTGGCCCAGCTACCGGAGATTCTGGGGGATTCGGCTGAAACAGTTGGCCCAGCTAGGATTCTCGAAGTAGGATCTAAACTAGGATCTAGATCTAGATCTAGGATTCTCTAGGATTTCAGAAGGGACGTTAGGCAGGTTTCTGTAATATTGTTTAGGCGATTCTAGGGATTCGGCCGAAACAGCTGGCCTAGCTACCGGAGATTCTGAGGGATTCGGCTGAAACGGCTGGCCCAGCTAGGATTCTCGAACTAGGATCTAAACTAGGATCTGGATCTAGATCTAGGATCTGGATCTAGATCTAGGATTCTCTAGGATTTCAGAAGGGACGTTAGGTAGTTTTCTGCCGCGATTTTTCGTTATTTTCGGCACGAAATTAGGTGGTGTTTTGCTGTTTCGGAACCGCTTCGAAACAGCAGGCCTAGCTGTAATATTGTTTAGGAGATTCTGGGGGATTCGGCCGAAGCAGCTGGCCTAGCAAGGATTCCCGAAGCCGCGATTTTTCGTTATTTTCGGCACGAAATTAGGTGGTGTTTTGCTGTTTCGGAACCGCTTCGAAACAGCAGGCCTAGCTGTAATATTGTTTAGGAGATTCTGGGGGATTCGGCCGAAGCAGCTGGCCTAGCAAGGATTCCCGAACTAGGATCTAGATCTAGATCTAGGATAGATCTAGAGATCTAGATCTAGGATTCTCTAGGATTTCAGAAGGGACGTTAGGCACTTTTTTGGCGTGGTTTTGGAACTAGTTCGTCCTTCAGAGCCATGGTGTTTTCCTGCCGGGAGCTGCTTTTATGCTTTTTTCGAAGTTGTTTTCGGAAAAAGGTTGTTTTTCTAGGATTTCAGAAGGGACGTTAGGCACTTTTTTGGCGTGGTTTTGGAACTAGTTCGTCCTTCAGAGCCATGGTGTTTTCCTGCCGGGAGCTGCTTTTTTCGAAGTTGTTTTCCTGCGAGCGGCCGCAGGCAACAGAAATTCTCGAAAAAGGTTGTTTTTCTAGGATTTCAGACGGGACGTTAGGTACTTTTTTGGCGTGGTTTTGGAACTAGTTCGTCCTTCAGAGCCATGGTGTTTTCCTGCCGGGAGCTGCTTTTTTCGCAGTTGTTTTCCTGCGAGCGGCCGCAGGCAACAGAAATTCTCGAAAAAGGTTGTTTTTCTAGGATTTCAGACGGGACGTTAGGTTGTTTTTCTAGGATGTCAGACGGGACGTTAGGTACTTTTTTGGCGTGGTTTTGGAACTAGTTCGTCCTTCAGAGCCATGGTGTTTTCCTGCCGGGAGCTGCTTTTTTCGCAGTTGTTTTCCTGCGAGCGGCCGCAGGCAACAGAAATTCTCGAAAAAGGTTGTTTTTCTAGGATTTCAGACGGGACGTTAGGCACTTTTTTGGCGTGGTTTTGGAACTAGCTCGTCCTTCTGAGCCATGGTGTTTTCCTGCCGGGAGCTGCTTTTTTCGAAGTTGTTTTCCTGCGAAAAAGGTTGTTCGTCCTTCAGAGCCATGGTGTTTTCCTGCCGGGAGCTGCTTTTATGCTTTTTTCGAAGTTGTTTTCGGAAAAAGGTTGTTTTTCTAGGATTTCAGAAGGGACGTTAGGCACTTTTTTGGCGTGGTTTTGGAACTAGTTCGTCCTTCAGAGCCATGGTGTTTTCCTGCCGGGAGCTGCTTTTATGTTTTTTTCGAAGTTGTTTTCCTGCGAGCGGGCGCAGGCAACAGAAATTCTCGAAAAATGTTGTTTTTCTAGGATTTCAGACGGGACGTTAGGCACTTTTTTGGCGTGGTTTTGGAACTAGTTCGTCCTTCAGAGCCATGGTGTTTTCCTGCCGGGAGCTGCTTTTTTCGAAGTTGTTTTCCTGCGAGCGGCCGCAGGCAACAGAAATTCTCGAAAAATGTTGTTTTATGTTGTTTTATGTTGTTTTTCTATGTTGTTTTATGTTGTTTTTCTAGGATTTCAGAAGAGACGTTAGGCACTTTTTTGGCGTGGTTTTGGAACTAGTTCGTCCTTCAGAGCCATGGTGTTTTCCTGCCGGGAGCTGCTTTTATGTTTTTTTCGAAGTTGTTTTCCTGCGAGCGGGCGCAGGCAACAGAAATTCTCGAAAAAGGTTGTTTTTCTAGGATTTCAGACGGGACGTTAGGCACTTTTTTGGCGTGGTTTTGGAACTAGTTCGTCCTTCAGAGCCATGGTGTTTTCCTGCCGGGAGCTGCTTTTTTCGAAGTTGTTTTCCTGCGAGCGGCCGCAGGCAACAGAAATTCTCGAAAAAGGTTGTTTTTCTAGGATTTCAGACGGGACGTTAGGTACTTTTTTGGCGTGGTTTTGGAACTAGTTCGTCCTTCAGAGCCATGGTGTTTTCCTGCCGGGAGCTGCTTTTTTCGAAGTTGTTTTCCTGCGAGCGGCCGCAGGCAACAGAAATTCTCGAAAAAAGTTGTTTTTCTAGGATTTCAGACGGGACGTTAGGCACTTTTTTGGCGTGGTTTTGGAACTAGCTCGTCCTTCAGAGCCATGGTGTTTTCCTGCCGGGAGCTGCTTTTTTCGAAGTTGTTTTCCTGCGAAAAAGGTTGTTTTTCTAGGATTTCAGACGGGAC